CAATGATTTGTACATAACATAAACCCATATTATATTCATAGTGAAAAATATAAAACATATCAAATGTTTAAACTGAGAAAATGTACCATTTCAAAAAAAAAAAAAAGAAGCTAATTCTGAACTGATGACGGCAACATGTCTCAAAAAAATTGGGACAGGGCAATAAAAAGCTGGCAAAGATCAGCAGATCGCTGATGCCATGCAGGTCTTTCATATCTGTCAGTATATCTGCTTGCCTGTACAGGATGTACCAGCAAACAAATACACTGCCAGGAAGGATGGATGAACTACCATGGCACTTCACAGCGCTGTGATAGTTCATTCAGGACTACAAGCTGACAGGCACTAAGGCTGTAAGGACTTGTAGTCTCTCATTCACAGATGACTGTGAATGAGTGACAAAGCCATGTGGGCCACTTTTTTTAAAACATTTGACAGCTAGCGAGGAGGGACAAGAACCCCCGCTAGCTGTCAAAAGTGGGAGCCAGTCTTATTACATATTAAACCCTGAATATGGGTGTAACATGGTACGAAAGGTGAACTTATCCTGGAATTGCACCTGAACCACTGAACAAAATCGCACCGGACCGGGCTTTACAATCGCACTGCATACCATATATGCACATATGTGAATCCCGTCTTACCTGTACTTTGCACCGTTTCTGGTTATCACACAATCCTGAGTGCTCCCACAGTGCTGGGCACACAAGTACCCCACCAGGGACCCTGCTCACTTTAGCAAAGGCAGGTCACAGAGAAACTGGAACAAAAACACTGAATAACCCACCCTCCATCAATGACCCACAGGAAACTAAGCTGCTCTCAGGGTAATGTCCTATCCTATCACCACTCTCCTCCTGTGAAGGTTTTTTTACATTCAGCTTTTAGCGGGCAACCCCGCTGACAGCTGATGGCTCATGTGTTGTTAAGGACGTGGCAGCTGGCTTCCCGGGCCTCTCCTTAACAAACAGTGAAATAAATGCTGGGCATCAGTGTTTTAGCAGAGGTTAGGAGCTGTTAGCAGTTTTCCCTGCCAAAGTGCTGCTGCTCCAGAAGACATTGGCAAGGGTTTTTTTTTTTCCTTTTCTTTCTGCCACTAAAGTCTCCTGCCAGAAACCGCTGCTAAAAGCCTGTGTGTGCATGGACTATAGGATAACATGCAGGGGAGTTTAGAGGCATTTAATAAAAAGATGTCTGACGCCCAAAACAGTAGCTGTAAAAACGCCCAGTGTGCATGAGGCTTTATAATTGCCTCACTATATTTTTTATCAGTTTTGCTGCATCTGTGCTTTGATCTTTTATGAAAATCTAAGGAGTTGTAGCAGGGCAGGCTTGCTAAACTCCACTTCATATCCTATTAGGTAGGCAGCGTCATCTCTCAGGTGAAAGGGTTCCCTGCGAGGAAAATGAACTGACATTTTGACAATTATGCAAAGAAGAGTCAACTGAGATTTCCAAGCTTTTATTATACTTAAAAATATTCATTGCAATAGAGCTAGCCAAATCTTTCTTTAAATATATGTGCTCATCTATTTAAATATTTTTCCTGTTTAATTTTCGGAAACAAAGCTCTATTCATAGGATGTGTGATTTTGAAAAGCCCTGCTGTTTGACAGTTAATTGCCCAGCTTTGTTGGTGTTGTGAGGATGAACATTAGGCGTATATTTATACTGTACATCGATGTAATGTGCAGCTGCTTCAGTTCAGAGATTCTCTTCTCTTGTCACCATTATATGGACAGTGCACATTCTGTACTGTCCCTGCATTGCTGCTCTTGCAGCTCTTGTCTATGAAAGGAGCTTCATACAGGGACAGCTGGTGACAAGCAGAGCAGTTTAAGATTCATTACTGTGTTCTATACACTGTACCAAGACCGCTTTACGCAAGAGCATTCTCTTTCTTTCATGAATAGTTTGTGTATGGTGTGACTTTCAGAGCTGCAGGAGTAGCTTTCCAGAATAAAGAGAACATTTAAAGTGTAAATCTTAATCCTAACAATTAACTTCTAATGCTTACTCTGTGAAATATACCATTGAAAGCATTTTGTTATATATGTTTGGTAAAGGGATAAAAATAGACTGGCAGAAAAAGTATGTGAACCCCTTGGAATTAACTGGTTTTCTGCTGTAATTTCCCACAAAAGGTGATATGATCCTCATCTAAGTCAGAACAATAGGCAAACACCAAGTGATGAAGCTGACAACACACACTTTCAATTTTTCCTGTCTTTATTGAACACACATATTTTTCATTCACAGTGCTGGAGGAAATTGTTAATAAGGAAAGCTAATTGAAGTCAGTAGTTTGCACACCTGGAGTTCACTTAATGAAATGCGTTTGGAGGTGTGGTATACAGCTATTTTGATTAGAGACTCAAACATTGAAAGATTGCTGTTCATAAGAAGCATCAGCTGATGTGAACCATGCATCGCAAAAAGCTCTATGAAGACATACAATTAAGAGTAGTTAATCTACATAAAGCTGGAAAGCGTTACAAAGCAATCTCAAAGTGTGCAGTTGGTTGTGAATAAACCTTGGTTTCTGCTTGGTATTTCTATTTTAATTATTCCTGTTAAATCAGTTTGACAAGCTCAGATCCAAAGCACAAGGAAAGTAGTGCCACTGCATCAGGTCTTTCCAGCTCATGATCCACTGCAGTACTGGGGTGGCCTGCAGTGTCTCTCCTAAGAGAACTAATGCCAGTAGTCTGGACCACTGTCCTCTATATTGGTCATCTCACTCCTTGGAGTCTCCCATAGCTCTTTGAGGTGTCCCCTTTTCTGCCTTATCCAGCGAAGAGTTTGCTGCCAAGGTGATTACTAACTCAGCTGGTAGGGGTTGTAAACATAGTTCATAGTTCTTTTACTTTGCTGGGACAGTCTCTGACTGTTCTGTTGACAGACAAAAGTTACCACCAAATGAAGGTCCAGCCATCCTAAAATAAATAAATATATATACACTGCTCAAACAAATTAAAGGAACACTTTTTAGTCAGAGTATAGCATTAAGTCAATTAAACTCCTGGGATATTGATCTGGTCAGTTAAGTAGCGGGGGGGGGGGGGGGGTTGTTAATCAGTTTCAGCTGCTTTGGTGTTAATGAAATTACCTGTACTAATCATTAGTAATACCTCATCTGGAATATGCAGTTCAATTTAGGGCACCAATTCACAAAAAGAACATTGGGGAACTGGAGAATGTACAGAGAAGGGCAACCAAACTGATACGAGGCATGGAGGAGCTCAGCTATGAGGAAAGATTAGAGGAACTGAATTTATTCTCTCTTGAGAAGAGGAGATTAAGGGGGGATATGATCAACATGTATAAATACATCAGTGGTCCATATAGTGAACTCGATATAGAGCTATTCACCCTGAGGTCATCACAGAGGACAAGGGGGCACTCTTTACATCTGGAGGAAAATAAATTTATTCTCCAAATACGGAAAGGTTTCTTTACAGTAGGAGCTGTGAAAACGTGGAATAGACTCCCTCAGGAGTTGGTTCTGGCCAGCTCAGTGGATTGCTTTAAAAAAGGCCTGGATTCTTTCTTGGATACACAGAATATAAACTGGATACTAACATTTATAGGTAAGGCTGATCTAGGGAATATCCAATTGTCTCTTGGGGGATCAGGAAGGAATTTTTTCCCCTGCAAGAGCAAATTGGATCATACTTTGCTGGGTTTATTTTTCCTTCCTCTGGATCAACTGTGGGTGTAGCATTATAACTTTTTTTTTTTTAATGGTTGAACTGGATGGACTTTTGTCTTTTTTCAGCCAGACTAACTTTGTAACAACAGGTGCACTAGATGGGCAACAATGAGACCATCCCCAAAACATGAATGGCTTTACAGGTTGAGTCCACTGAAATTTTTTTCCCTACTCATCTTTTCTGACTGTTTTTCACTAGTTTTGCATTTGGCTAGGGTCAGTGTCATTACAGGTAGCATGAGACGATACCTGGACTCTACAGAGGTTGCACAGGCAGTCCAACTGCTCCAGGATGGCACATCAATACGTGCCATTGCCAGAAGATTTGCTGTGTCTCCCAGCACAGACTCAAGAACATGGAGGAGATTCCAGGAGACGGGCAGTTACTGTAGGAGAGCTGGACAGGGCCGTAGAAGGTCCCTAACCCAGCAGGACTGGTATCTCCTTTGTGCAAGGATGAGCATTGCCAGAGCCCTACAAAATGACCTCCAGCAGGCCACTGGTGTGAATATCTCTAACCAAAAATTGAGAAACATATTTCATGAGGGTGGCCTGAGGGCCCTGACATCCTCTAGTGGGTCATGTGCTCACTGCCCGGGCACCATAGAGCTGGATTGGCATTTGCCATTGAACTCCAGAATTGGCAGGTCCGCCACTGGCGCCCTGTGCTTTTCACACATGGAGCAGGTTCACCCTGAGCACATGTGACGGACATGAAAGGGTCTGGAGAAACAGTGGAGAATGTTATGCTGCCTGTAACAACATGACCGTTTTGGTGGTGGGTCAGTGATGGTCTGGGGAGGCATATCCATGGAGGGACACACAGACCTCTACAGGCTGGACAATGGAATCCTGACTGCCATTCAGTATGGGGATGAAATCCTTGGACCCATTGTCAGACCCTACACTGGTGCAGTGGGTCCTTGATTCCTCCTGGTGCAATGCCTGGCCTCATGTGGCGACAGTATGCAGACAGTTCCTGGAGGATGAAGAAATTGCTACCATTGAATGGCCCCCACGCTCGCCTGACCTAAATCCAATAGAACACCTCCGGGATATCATGTTTCTGTCCATTTGACGCCGTCAGGTTGCACCTCAGACTGTCCAGAGTGTTCTCTTAATATTTTTTTTGAGCAGTGTATGTGTATACATTATGTGTGTGTGCGTGCGTGCGTGCGTGCGTGTACGCGCACATACATACACTATGTATTGCCAAAAGTATTGGAGCACCCCTTGAAATCATTGGATTCAGGTGTTACAATCACCTCCATGGCCACATGTGTATAAAATCAAGCACCTAGGCATGCAGACTGCTTCTACAAACATTTGTGAAAGAATGGGTCTCTCTCAGGAGCTCAGTGAATTCAAGCGTGGTACCGTGGTAGGTTGCCACCTGTGCAATAAGTCCATCCATGAAATTTCCTTGTTACTAAATATTCCACGGTCAACTGTTAGTGGTGGTATAACAAAGTGGGAGCAACAGCAACTCAGCCATGTAAAATAACGAGCGGGGTCAGTGCATGCTTAAAGCAGAGTTCCACTCACACTGTAAAAATATAAGTTAGTAGCTACAAAAAACAGCCACTCACCTGCCCCACGATCCCACCGCCGCAGCCCGTTTTACCGGACATTCTGTATTCCAGGTGCTAGCATCTTCAGTATGGGCACCTGGCTGTGACAGCTTGCAGCTTCACAGCCGGGTGTCCACTGTGCATGTGCAAGTAGCGCTGCGCTTCCTGAATGGGCCCCGTCGTCTTCTGGGACCTGTCACGTGTCTTCGGGGAGGGAGGGTAGGAGGACAACTTCCACTTCCGATCACCTAGGCGATCTCAATGCTAGTGGAAGCGGGTACCTGTCAATTTCGGGTAGCCGCTCCCCAAAGGTGCCAATCCTTAATGGGGAGCGGGGGGACCAATCTTTAAAACGTAACTTCGGAACTTCCCCTTTTGGGCACACAGTGTGCAGGAGTCGCTAACTGTCTGCAGAGTCAGCTAAAGACCTCTAAACTTCATGTGGCCTTCAGATTAGCACAACAACAGTGCGTAGAGAGCTTCATGGAATGGGTTTCCATGGCTGAGCAGCTGCATCCAAGCCTTACATCACCAAGTGCAATGCAAAGCGGCAGATGCAGTGGTGTAAAGTACGCCACCACTGGACTCTAGAGCAGTGGAGACGTGTTCTTTAGAGTGACGAATCACTCTTCACTGTCTGGCAATCCGATGGACGTGTCTGGGTTTGGTGTTTGCCAGGAGAACAGTACTTGCCTGACTGCATTGTGCCAAGTGTAAAGTTGGTGGAGGGGGGATTGTGGTGTGGGGTTGTTTTTCAGGGGTTGGGCTTGGCCCCTTAGTTCCAGTGAAGGGAACTCTTAAGGCATCAGCATACCAAGACATTTTGGACAATTTCATGCTCCCAACTTTGTGGGAAGAGTTTGGGGATGGCCCCTTCCTGTGCCAACATGACTGCACACCAGTGCACAAAGCAAGGTCCATAAAGACATGGATGAGCGAAGTTTGGAGCGGAGGAACTTGACTGGCCTGCACAGAGTCCTGACCTCAACCAGGTAGAACACCTTTGGGATGAATTGGAGCAGAGACTGTGAGTCAGACCTTCTCGCCTGACATCAGTGCCTAACCTCACAAATGCGCTTCTGGAAGAATGGTCAAACATTCCCATACACACACTCCTAAACCTTGTGGACAACCTTCCCAGAAGAGTTGAAACTGTATAGCTGCAAAAGGCGAGGCCAACTCAATATTGAACCCTACGGACTAAGACTGGGATGCCATTAAAGTTCATGTGCGTGTTAGCTCAGGTAGGGGATCACTTTCCCTGGGAAAAAGGTAGTCCAGACGACAGGTCTTTTCTTAAAAATCTGACTTGTAGACAGTTTTATTTAAAAGGTTGCATGCATCATAAACAAAACAACAGAAAAGTAAGTCCTTGCCATTCAGGCACTAACTAAACAGAAGAGGTTCCTGTCTCACAGGTGAAGGGCTTCTCCCCGTCACCAGCAGAACAAAACTGTGTGCAAACCTTTTCCTTTCTTGTACAAAGCGAACTCTTTCATCCACAACTCTCTCGGGTATGGCTCCCTCAGTCCCAGACCAAGAGCAACTTCTTGCTCCAGTCCTGCTTTCTTTATTTATACCACCTGCTGGTGATCATCAGTGGACCGCAAAATCCGATCTGGAACCAACTCTGCCAAGGTGGCCTGGAAAACCTGGACTGGACTCCACCTTAGTCTCCTAGATATGAACACATGCGCGAGGTGACACATAGTCAATCATCTCGCCTTTCATAATGTCACTAATATTTATTTATTTTATCTAGTTTTATATAGCGCCAAAGGGTTTGCTCAGCGCTGTACAATAGAGGGGGGGGACAATACATGAAGCAGTACAGTAACATCAAACAGCACACGAGGGGTAAGAGGGCCCTACTCTTTCGAGCTTACAATCTAGGAGGGAGGGGGTAGTGGTACAGGAGGAAATGGCTGTGGGGATGGAGTGGTAGGAGGAGGGAAGGGCAGCGGCTGTTAGGTGAGGGTGGGGTAGGCTTCCCTGAAGAGGTGGGTTTTCAGGGAGCGCCTGAAGGTGAGGAGGGAAGGTGACAGTCTGGTGGATTGGGGTAGTGAGTTCCAGAGGATGGGGGAGGACCTGGAGAAGTCTTGCAGTCGTGCGTGGGAGGAGGAGACCAGGGAGCAAGATAGGAGGTCCTGTGAAGAGCGAAGGGTACGGGTAGGGTGGTACCTGGGAATCAGGTCGGTGAGGTAGTTAGGGGCAGTCTTGTGAATGGCCTTATAGGTCAGGGTGAGCAATTTGAATTTAATGCGTTGGGCAATGGGGAGCCAGTGGAGGGAGAGGCAGAGGGGGGTGGCAGAGGTGGAGCGGCTGGTGAGGTGGATGAGTCTGGCAGCTGAGTTCAGGATGGTCTGAAGCGGGGAGAGTTTGCACTGGGGTAGGCCGGTGAGGAGGGAGTTGCAGTAGTCAAGGCGTGAGATAATCAGGGAGTGTACGAGTAGTTTAGTGGTGTCTGGGGTAAGGAAGGAGCGTATCTTGGCGATGTTCCGGAGGTGGAGCCTGCATGTGTTTGTGAGTGATTTGATATGAGGTTGAAAGGAAAGGTTTGAGTCCAGAATGACGCCAAGGACCTTGGCTTGCTGGGCGGGATTGATGGTGGTGGTGTTGGTAGTGATGGAAAGGATGGGGGGGGGGCGGGCTGGGGGGAAGACGAGAAGCTCGGTTTTGGAGAGGTTGAGCTTCAGGAAATGGAGCGACATCCAGTCAGAGATGTCGTTTAGGAGGTGAGTGATGCGGGCGGAGAATGTGGGGGTGAGGTGAGGGGTGGATAGGTAGATTTGAGTATCATCAGCGTAGAGGTGGTAATTGAAGCCGTGGGAGTGTATGAGTTTGCCAAGGGAGGAGGTGTAGATGGAGAAGAGAAGGGGTCCAAGGACAGAGCCCTGGGGGACCCCAACAGAGAGGGGGAGGGAAGAGGAGGTGGCATCGTTGTAGGAAACGCTGAAGGAGCGTTGGGATAGATAGGACGAGAACCAAGAGAGAGCGGTGTCTCTGATGCCAAGGGAGAGTAGCTTATTAAGGAGGAGGGGGTGGTCGACTGTGTCAAAGGCCGCGGAGAGGTCTAGGAGAAGGAGGACAGAGTAGTCGCCTTTGGCTTTGGCGGTTAGTAGATCGTTGGTGATTTTGAGGAGGGCAGTTTCGGTGGAGTGTAGGGGACGGAAGCCGGACTGTAGTGGGTCAAGGAGGTTGCTGTCAGTTAGGTGGGCGCTTAGGCGATCGAAGACCAAGCGCTCAAGGAGCTTGGAAGTGAGTGGCAGCAGGGAAATTGGTCTGAGGTTGTTGAGGTCAGTGGGGTCCAGGGAGGGCTTTTTGAGTATGGGGGTGATGTGCGCATGTTTTAGGGGGGAGGGGAAGACGCCAGTAGAGAGGGAGAGATTGAAGATGTGGGTAAGGGAGCGGATGAGGGAAGAGGGGGGTGACCGGAGGAGTTGAGAGGAGATAGGGTCCAGGGGGCAGGTAGTGAGGCGGGCTTCTGAGAAGACTCTGGTGACTTCCTCAGTGGTAGTAGGGCTGAAGGAGTGCAGTGATGGGGGGGTTACGGTAGGCAGGGCCTTGGGTGTGATGGGGGGGCAGTGCCGTTGCGAGGTCAGAGGAGGGGAGAGATGAGGGGGTGATGGAAGGGGGGAGGCTAGATGGGGAGGTAGATTGCAAGTTGACTATGTCCTTGTGGATTGCGTCAATTTTGTTGTGAAGATGAGTGGCAATCTCGTGGGCGGTAAGTGAGGTACTGAGTGGAGGAGGGGGGGGAGAGAGCAGGGAGTTGAAGGTGGAGAAGAGTCGGTGAGGGCAGGTGGAGAGGGTGTTGATCAGGTCAACGAAGTAGGCCTGCTTGGCGGCGTGGAGGGAGGAGGTGTAGGTGAGGAAGGCAGATTTGTAGAGGGAGAATGCATGAGGGGACCTGGTTTTGCGCCATAGTCTCTCCAAATATATATATATATATATTTCACCAGGATATACAAAGTAGCTGCAAATGTACGTAAAAATTTACTAACACGTCAAAGCTGGAAAACTGTTTTCACACATTAAGACTTGTTTTGACTTGACATTTGGACAATTAGGGAATGCGGGCAGAAATTACAGTTCCAAATTGCGGCAAAACACGCAATGCTGCCCTATGCACAACACACAAACGTGTGAATTGCGCATTTTAAAATCGTGAGCAGAAACTGTGCCTAAAATCTAATCTGTTTGTTGTGATTAATTCTTTGTCAAGATATTTACAATTATATTTTTATCTTTTTCAGCTTCTGGTCCAGGAAACTTCTTCTTCCAGTTTGGGTAACAGACACAGGCACACCTCTTCCTGTCCAATGTCCCCCGTCCCCTCATATCCCTCTTCTGTTCAAGTGTTTTAACCCAGAAAAAGGACTTTATTTAATCAGACTTCTCCACAGCATCATTATGTCTCTCTGTTTATTAGAGAAGTGTTTTTTTTTTTTTAATATTATTTTGAATCCATCTCAGATTAAATACCTCTCCGTGTGCTCGTGTGTGAAGGAAATCTTGAATGCGGCATGAACGAAAGTTTCAAATAAAGTGTAAAAAGCCTGACGAAATGTGGGTTGGCATTTTGTCGCAGCCAGGTGAAATCTGCACCATCCTTTTTGATGTCTGGGGTGGGACTGGGGAAGTAGGAATCATTCTGCCTAAAAAAAAAAAAAAAAAAAAAAAAACCCTCTGTGCATATTGCTCCTGTGATGCTTTGAGTCCTCTGGAATTTTCTGTAGGCAGATTTTCTGTTACCACACTTGGGAAATGTGTATGCATGGACACAGGTATCTGTAACCCCACAAAAGTCTGTGGATTAACCTGGAACTTGTACATATCTTTTTGCTCCTTCTAAACTTAGACTGCTGAGTGGAGCAGATCACTGGAAACAGACTTCCATTATGACCAACCAGATAAGTGGACGAATTTCTACACCATTGGTCTGCATACACTTCCTGTTTGCCCATCCCATTCACTGACTTCTTGCAACTTTCTGGTCTCTAAAGGAGATGCTGGTGAACTCTGGAATCGCAGCATGAACATTCGCGTTTAATGACATTCTGTGAAGATCTGTATATCTAAATGGTTGGTCTTCTCTCCATTAGGAAAAGGGGGGGTTCCATTGCTGCTTTCAGGAGGGATTTGAAAGGGGGAGCCCGAGCAATGTAGACCGTCAATACTGATTACAGTCACCAATGTAATATACTAGTAGTAGCATTTCTTAATGTAATCCAGCACTGCTTTTATTGTAGATGAAACAAAGGAACTGTACATTCGTTCTAAAGTGTTCACTGTCACCATTACCGAAAGTAAATTTAAGCGCATTCAGAGGATCACAGCTGTCATACCTAAGGGCCCTTTCACACTGGCAGACCGATTGGGGTCTGCCTATCTATTTTTCAGGTGGACCAGCTATTGTTCTCTATGGGGAGGTCTATTGAATGGACATGTTTCCGTTTACACCCGCCTGCATCTGATCCACTAAAAACAGAAGGATGGGGATCTG